GTGCGCGCGTCGCTGAACGCGGGCACGGCGGCGCTCGTGGCCGCGGGAAACTGCGGCATCGGCAGCGACGCGCTGCTGAGCGTGCGGCGCACGGCGAAGCGGTGCCGCTACCCGAACCTGCCGACGGCGCCGGGCGCGTGCAAGTTCAACCTGCTCCACGGCGTGTCCTACGTGCCGCGCCGGGCCTGGCTCGACGCCGTCGCCAACGTCTCCGTGGACACCTGGCGGCGCGACAAGGCGAAGCTCTTCGCGGTCTGGCGGGACCTCGAGGCGTGCGCGGCGTCGAAGAACTGCGGCGACGCGCCCGAGCCGAACTTGATCGCGCTGCCGAACCACGGCGTCGCGTCGGGCCTCAAGCACGCGCTGGCGTCGGCCTGGCGGAGCTTTTTAGCAGGCGTGCCCGTCGCCTACGCGTCGGGGAGGGAGAAGTGGCTCTGGGCCGACGACGCGTGCGGCGGCGCCGCGCAGAGCTGCTTCCTACGACGGCTTCCGGACGCCCCCGCGGATCCCGAGGCGACGGTGACGCTGCGCTGGGACGACGGCGAGCCGGACCGCATCCGCGACACGCTCTGGCGCGCGCCCCACTTCAACTCGACGGCCGCGCGCCACGGCCAGTCGCGGTTCGATCCTACCTTCGGCGAGTGGTTTCTGAAGAAGCACGGCTCCCTGGCGCTCATGGCCGCCGTCGCCGACTACTTCGTCGAGGACCTCGACGTCGTCGAGGCAAAGCTGACGCCGCTCCTCCCCGCGGCCTTCTTCCCCGCGAAGTCGCCGGCGGCGCCGCGGTGCGTCGCCGTCCACGTGCGGCACGGCGACTCGTGCGGGCGCGCGTCCGGCTACGCGAAGCTCGGCAAGCACGCCTACGCGCGGCGGCGGAGCTGCCCGCCCCTGCGGGACTACCTCGGCGCCGCGGCGCACCTCGCGGCGGCGACGGGTTTTAGGGATCTCTTCGTGGCGACGGACGACGTCGAGGTCGCGGAGACGGTCGGGCCCCTCGCGGCGAACCTGGGCCTGCGCGCGCGCCTCCTCCCCATCAACCGGACCAAGTACGGCGAGGGCAACGCCCAGGGCGCGAACCGCCACGCGGACCTCATCGAGGAGCGCGGCGACCTCGATCGCGCCGTCGCCGCGCGCGAGGTCTACGCGGACGTGTTGGGCTTGGCGCGCTGCGACGCGATCGTCGGGCCCTTCCACTCGACCATGGACCTGTTGGTGTTCGAGCTGCAGACGGCGCGCCTCGGGTGCGTTCGCTTCTATTCGCGCGCGCGCGGGAAGACGACTCGTAGGCGGCCGCCGCCGTTCATCTCCATGGACGACCCCTGGTGCAGCGACGACCCGGCGAACGCGAACAACTTCTGCCCGGACTACGTACCCGCGATGGCGCGCACGCGCCGGCGTCCCGTGGCCGTGAGAGATTTTGACCGAGAGAACGATAAAACATCGTCACCGTCGCGCGCGTAGGCAAGCGCGCGGACCAGCGGCCCAATGGCCGCGTCACAAAGCTCCGCGAGCTCAAGAAGATGGCGGACCTCCACCTCATCTCCTACGCCGGGTACGAGAAGGCGAAGGACGGCATCCTGCGGGCCATGTCCGACGGGACCTTTAACGACGGTTAGAACGCCCAGCCGACCTCCTGGCGCCGGTCGAAGCGCGCCTGGCGGTTCGCGTCGCCCGCGCGCTCGCGCATGTCGCTCCGCGAGAACGGCGCGGGCCCGAGGACGCCCGTGAGCTTCTGGATGTGGCGCCACTCGGCCCGGCGCCACTTGGCGCGGTCGTTCTTCGTCGCCGTTTTTCGCGTCTCCTCGTCGCCGCGGCTCGCGGCCGCCGCGACGGCCCTGGCCGCGCGCTCGCGGTGCTTCCGCCTCGCCCACCGGCGCAGCGCCGCGTAGCGCCGCATCCGCCCGAGGTACCAGCGCATGGCGAAGGAGGCGGCGGCCCGCTTCGCGCCCGCGGGCAGCGGCGCGGGCTTGTTTTCCTCGGCCTCGAGCGCCGCGAGCGCGGCGGCGACGGCCGCCTCGCGCTTCCGCGCCTTGCTCCGCGCGCGGACGCCCGCCATGCCCGTGTTTGTGACCTTGAGGCCCACGGAGCGAAACTCGTCCCAGCTGAGCATCTTGTCGCCGTCGACGTCGAGCGCGCCGAACGCGCGCACGAGGCGGTCGCGCGTGCCGTCCTCCTGCCGCACGCGGCTCGACCCGTCGAAGCCGAGCGCGCGGCCGAAGGCCGCGTCGCCGCGCAGGGCCTTGACGGCCTCGATGATGGAGATGGACCCGTCGCCGGACTTGTCCGCGGCGTCGAAGACGCGCCGGAGCTCGGCCTCGCGGACCGCGGCCACGTCCGGCGGCGGCGGCGGCGGCCTGCCCGCGTCGCGCTTCCTCGTCACGCGCGCCTCGTCGGGGATGCTCGGGGACGGCGGCTTCGCTTTTGGTGTCCGTGCGACGGGCGGCTCTTTCTTGACCTTTTTCGTGCGCTCCAGGCGGCGCCAGGACTGGTAGTTTAACCAGTGCCGCCGCTCCGCGACGCCGGGCGCCGGATTCGCCAGGTCGCGCGCGTCGAGCGTCGGTGTCTTGCTGGTCCGTTTCGGCTGCTGCTTCACGACGGTCACGAACGGCGGCGGCGGCGGTGGAGGTGGAGCCATCACCAACCGCGGGGCAGCCGTTGGGAAATGCAACATCTGAGTGCTTGACATCACATGCCATCCTGTGGCAGCTCATCGCGCCTCCCTCCGCGTCGACGACCAGCCATGCGCCGCCTACTCTGCCTCGGCGTATTCGCGGCCGTCGACGCCCTCGGCAGCGACAAGCTCTTCCTCGGCGCGTCGGGCGTGCGCCAGCTCGACCGGTCCGGCGTGCGCGCCGTGGCCGCCAACGAGACGGACGCCGCGGGCTGGGTCGTCGCCTTCTACGCGCCCTGGTGCGGCCACTGCCAGCACTACGCGCCGTCCTTCCGCCAGTTCGGCGCCGCGCTCGCGGCGAGCGGCGACGCTCTGCGCGCGGGCGCCGTGAGCTGCACGGCCGAGAAGAAGGCGTGCTCCGAGTTCGGCGTGAGGAGCTACCCGACGGTCAAGGCGTTCGGCGCGCTCGGGAACGACGTCGTCCTCGACAAGCGCGCGCCGCTCCAGCTCCTGGCGACCGTGCGGAGGAAGTACCCCGGCTACCTGACGCGGGACGACGCCGCGCTGTTGAAAGAGGGCGCGGCCGCCGAGAAGGGCGGCGGGCTCCGCCGCGCCGAGGACCCGCCGCTCAAGACGCCCGGCCTCCGCGGCGCGCCGGCGCTGAGCGACGCCGCGGCGTCGCTGCGCTACGCGCTGGAGTCGGCCGTGTTCACGGAGGGGCCCGTTTTGTCGCGCGAGCGGTTGGTGGCGCTCCGGGGCGTGCTCGCGGCCGCGTCGACGGCCCTCCCCGGCGTCGCCGTCGCGCCGGCGCTGCTGGACTGTTTAGGGGCATCGTCCGAGGGCGTGACGAGCGACGAGTGGGACGCCTGGCTGGCAAAGCCGGACGCCGTGACGTGCCGGGGGACGACGCGGCGCGCGCAGCCCAAGGCCTGGAGCGCGCGCTGCGACCCGGACGGCCGGGGCGCCGAGTCCGGCGGCACCTACACCTGCGGCCTCTGGAGCTTCTTCCACGCCGTCGTCGCGAGCGAGGCGCTGGAGCCGCGGGCCGCGCGGGCCGCGGTGCGCGCGTTCGTCGCGCACTTTTTCGGGTGCGCGGAGTGCCGGTCCCACTTCCTCGCCATGTACGACGCCTGCGACCACGGCGCCTGCGACGCCGACGGCGACGCGTCGCTGTGGCTCTGGCGCGCGCACAACGCCGTGAACTCGCGCGTCAAGGGCGGCGGCGCGTCGGACGCGGCGGCCGCGGCGGACGCGGCCGCGGCCTGGGCCTGGCCGCCGGCGAGCGAGTGCGGCCACTGCCGCGTCGGCGATAGATGGGACGAGGCCGAGGTCGCCCGCTTCCTGCGGCGCACCTACGGCCACGCGGCGGCGCCGCCGCGGACGCCGCGGAAGGCGCCGCGCCGGCGGCGCGATCGCGCGGCGTCCGGCGCGTCGTCCGGCGCCGCGCTCGTCGCCTACGGGCTCGTGAGCGTCGCCGCCGCCTTCTCCTGCCTGCGGGCGTCGGCCTGGGCGCTGGGTCCCCGGCGCCTCCGCGCGAAGCGCCAGTACGCCGCCGTCAACGGCCACCTCGTCTAGGACTCCTAACTCGCCCCGGGTCCCGCGTAGCCGCGCGTCGCGGCGTCGCCGAGGCCCACGGGCGACGGGACGAACTGGCGGCAGGCCTGCTCGGCGCGCTCCTCGAACTCCGCGAGGGAGATGGTCCCGTCGCCGTCCTCGTCCAATTCGGCCAGAATCGCGCCCGCGGACGCCGCCACGGCCACATCGTCGCCGTCCGTGATCGCCGCGAGACCTACAACGCACGTCGGTGACGATGTTTCTTCGTTTTCCCGCCCGAAAATCGTCACGGCCGCGGGACGCCGCGCGAGGCCCGCGCGCAGTTCGTCCAGATCCAACACCCCGTCGCTATTCGCGTCCCAGGCCTCGAAGATGTTCCGCGCGAGCGTACTCACGCCGATCTTTTCCGCGAGCCGCTCGTAGTTCTCCGCCGAGAGGAGCCAGCGCGCGTGCGACCCGCCGCTCGACGATTCGAGCCGCGGCGCGAGGGGCGCGAGCGAGTCGCCGTCGAGCGCGTAGACCTACGACGTGGGCTTTTTTAACTGGTCCTCGAAGGACGTTGGACGCCGGGACGGGACGCAGGGCACGGCGTTGGGTACGAAGATCTTGGGCACGAGCGCGTCGGGCACGCCGTCCAAGGCCGCGATGAGCGCGCGGAGCGTGTTCGCGTGCGCCGCGACGAGGACGGTCCGCCCGCCGCGCACGGCCGGCGCGACGCGCTCGTCGAAGCACGCGAGCACGCGCCGCTGGCAGTCCGCGAGCGACTCCGTCGGAGGGGCTTTCGCGTCGTAATGCGGGTGCGACGCGCTCATGGCAGGAGGCGCTTCGCGCATGGACCGGCGGATCTTCTCGAGTTCCGAAGCCGTGAGCGGTTTCTTTGTCTGCGTCGAGTGCGCGAGCGGCGTCGCGAGGAGCCCGGGGTCGTCCTTGCGGACGCCCTGCAGCGCGCCGTAGTGCCGCTCGTTCAGGCGCGCGTCGCGCGCGACGGCCGCGCCCGGTAAGCACAGCTCCGCGGTCTTCGCGGCGCGCCGGAGCTCCGACGTGAAGGCCGCGTCGACGGCCATGGGCGGCGCCTGCGAGCGGAGCAGCGCCCCGGCGGCCGCGGCCTCGGCCTCGCCGCTCGGCGTGAGCGCCACGTCGACCCAGCCCGTGAACCGCGCCGGGCCGAAGCCCGACGCGCCGTTCCACTCGCTCTGGCCGTGCCGCAGCAGGATGAGCCGCGACGACGCGCGCCTCATCATAGATTCTTCGCCGTGGGCTGCGAGGGCGGCATCATCACGCGCGCAACATAGATTCTTCGTGGGCTGCCTGGTTTTATTAACAGCGGCAAGTACGTTTCGCTGAAGTCTCAAGAGTTTGGGGGCCTGTGGCAAATGATGATGATGCGTCGAGCAATTCGCGTCGTGGCACGTCCCGCGCTCCACAAAACCGCAGTGCGCCGCGCGTCGACGCGCAGCAGAGCGCGCACCTACGCCTTCCGCGCCGCCGCGGCGCCCTACGCGCTCCTGGGCCTCGTGCCCATCACCTCGTCGACGCTGGCCGCGTACCACCTCGCCGGCGGGCGCGAGGACGAGGCGCGCGGCTGCGCTTTCTTTGCCGCGACCGGGTTCCTCTCCCTCCCTCTGTCGCTGGTCATGTTCGCCGCGGCGCCCTTTACGTTACTCTTCGACGGGGACCGGCGGCGCGCGCCCGACTGGGTGCAGAAGGCGTGGGGCCGGCTGACGACGCGGTGCTTCTACGAGACGACGGTCGAGGGCGCCGAGAAGCTCGCGGCGCTGGAGGGCGCGGGCGCCGTCTTCGTGTCGAACCACTGCTCCTGGCTCGACATCTACGCGCTCTTCGAGCTCGACGCGCTGCCGCTAAAGATCGTCGCGAAGCGGGAGATCTTCTACATCCCCCTCTGCGGCTGGGTCATGCACCTCATCGGCCATATCCCCCTGGACCGGAGCAAGGGCGGCGCCGGCGTGCTCGCGCGCTGCGGCGAGCTCCTCGACCGGGACCAGCCCGTCTTCTTCTTCCCCGAGGGCACGCGGAGCGCGGACGGCCGGCTCCAGGCCTTCAAGCCCGGCGCCTTCGTCCTCGCGGCGCGCAAGGACGTGCCCGTCGTGCCCATCACGATCCTCGGCACGGCCGCCCTCATGCCGCCGGGCAACGAGTTCTGGCAGGGCGGCCGGCTCACAAAGGCCGGCGGCGTCACGGTCGTCGTCCACGACCCCGTCTACCCGGACCGGGCCGCGCATGACGTCGTCCTCGACCTCTCGAGCCGCGCGCGCGCCGCCATCGCCGGCGGCCTGCCGGAGCGCTAATTGCTTCAAGTTGAACGGAAACAACGCGTGCAGCCCGTCGTCTTCCACACGATGGACGCCGTGCCCTCGAAGTAGAGTGTCGTCACCGAGTAGGCGATCCGTAGAGCGCGGAAGACGATGGCGGACCTGGAATTCTGGGCGCAGATCATGGCGCAGCCCGGCGGCTACGGGCGGCTCCAGGAGCTCGTCGACGACGACGAGAGGATGAAGCGCCAGCTCACGGACGCCATGGGCTATCTGCGATGCAGCGACGAGATCGCCGGCGACCTCGTGAAGAACATCCTGTTGTCCCTCGACAGCAACTCCGCCTGCCGCGAGGGCACGTCGCGCGAGGCGCGCGCCGTCATCCGGCGGACCATCGACGACGACGCGTTCATCGCGGTCCTCAAGGTCCACGCGGAGCTCGGGCGGTCCGGGCTGCCCGTGCGCCTCTGGAGCCGGCCGCCGAACGTCGCCGCGCCCGCGCGGCTCCGCGCCGTGGAGCGCCTCGCGAATCCGAGCGACGACGAGCTCTGGAAGTACGTCGCGACGAACACGCCCTGCGTCGTCGAGCGGGCCTTCGAGGACATGCCGTGCCTCCAGACGTTTCGGGACGACGACCACCTCAAGCGCCTCTGCGGCCACCGCGACGTGTTGGTCCGGACGACGTGCATCCCCGACGGCGCGGGCCGCCACGTATTTATCGAGGGCGGCGCGCACATGGGCAAGTTCGGGACCTACATCGACGCCTGCGCGGCCTCGCGCGCCCGGGGCGAGCCGCCGCGGCAGTACACGGGCAAGATCGAGCTCCGCAAGTTCCTGCCGGAGATGCACGCGGAATTGGCCGACTCGCCGACGAACCCCCGGATCAAGTACGGCGCGCTCTTCGGCGACGTGACGGAGATGGGCGTCATCATGTACTTCGGCGGGGGGCGCAACACGACGAAGACGCACTTCGACCCCTTCGACAACCTGATGCTGGTCGTCGACGGCACGAAGAAGCTCTGGCTGTGGCCGCCGAGCGACGCGGAGAGCCTGTACCCCTGGCCCTTCCCCTCCTTCTCCCACAGCGGCGTGCCCCCGTTCCTCAAGGCCGACGACCCGTCGACGGGGCGCTTCCCGAAGTACGCGGACGCGGTGGCCATCGAGGTCGAGGTCAAGGCCGGCGACCTGCTGTTCCTGCCCGCCTTCTGGTACCACTGCGTCGAGGGCGGCCGCGGCCGCAACATGATCATCAACTGGTGGTTCCACCTGCACAAATCGAAGCGCGACGCGTCGACGGCCAAGGACCTGCCGGCGACGGTGGACCAGGACGTCGCCGCGGACGACCTGCCGATCCCGCGGCGCCGGGAGATGACGGTCCAGGGCAAGGGCGCCGTCGTGCGGTCCGGCGCGTCCCTCGCGAGCGCGCACGTCGCGACGCTGCCGCGCGACGCGACGGTCGTCATCGCGCCGGGCCCGCCCCTCGTCGTCGACGGCAAGGAGCGCCTCCGCATCGTCGCGCCCGTCGCGGGCTACGTCAGCCGCATCGCCCTCTGCTACCACCCGCCGGCGCCGCCGAAGCCGGGGGCCCAGCCCCTCGGCGCGGTGCCCAAGCCGCCCTGGCTCCAGTCCGTCGCGAGCTAAGACGGTTCGGTGGGCCGCGGCCGGTTTCGTGCAGCTTGCAGTACAAGTTGCAGTACACGCGCTTCGACTGGATTGCTGTCCATCCATCTCGATCGAGATTCTGGGCAGCCCGACTGGTACCATCCATCTCGATCGTGAAACTGGAAGCCATGGCCGCCACCGCGGGCCCCCGCAAAGACGACGAGATGGCGTTCGCCGACGCCTACGAGCTCGGCACCATCGAGCGCCGCGTGAAGATCGACGACCGCAAGAGCACGGACAATTGTTTCAAGGTCTTCTTCTGGCTCTGCGTCCTCTCCTTCGTCGGTACGAGCATCTGGCTCGGGATCGGCGGCCACGCGCGCTACGACCTCGACAAGAGCGGCGAGATCGACGGCGTGTCGGACCACTACCTCTCGGACGCCAAGGCCTGCTGCGACAACGCGGGGGGCGACTACTGGAAGGAGTCGACGGTCTGCTACGAGATGTACGACGCGGGCCAGTGGTCCCCCGCGGGCCGGCGCCTCGAATCGCGGCGCCTCGGCGACAAGAAGAAGCCCAGGCCCGACAACATCTGGGAGGGCTTCGGCCTCCACCCGGAGATCCCCGTGACGCTCGTCTGCGTCGTCATGGTGCTCTGCCTATCCTTCGTCAAGCTCATGGAGCAATTCGCGAAGACGGTGCTCTTCGGGGCCTACTTCCTCGAGATCGGCTTCCTGCTGGGGCTCGGCATCTACGACTTCGCGCGGGCGTCCGAGGCGACGTCGACGGCGATCATGTTTATTATTTTCGGCGTGCTCCTCGCCGCGTACGTCTTCTACGTCCGCGCGCGCATCGCGTCGGCCGCGGAGACCGTGGCCGCGGCGGCGCACTCGCTGCTGCTGATGCCGTCGCTGCTGGGCTTCGTCTTCGCGTGGCTCGCCGTGTCCGCGGTGCTGATCGTCGTGCTGATCCTCGTCGCGTCCGCGGCGGGGAACCACAGCAAGCTCGAGGAGACGAAGCACGACATCGAGGCGGGCTACACCGTTATCGGCGAGTGGTCCGAGTGCGAGTTCGTCGCGAGCGACGCGGCGAACAACGCCCTGGGCTGGTGCTACGTCGTCTGGTGCTGGATGTGGTACTGGGCGTCCACCACCCTCATGTTCTTCGTCTCCGGCTGCGTCGCCCAGCACCACTTCGACGCGACGGCCCCCGACGGCGCCGCGGCGGCGTCGTTATCGACGCTGCCCTGCACGCTCGCGAAGCTCGCGCTGACGACGAGCAGCGGCACGACGTCGAAGATCGCGCTCGTCTTCGAGTTCATCGCCTGGCTCCGAAAAAAGGCCAAGGTCTCCTGCTGGAACTTCGCGAGCCCCTTCTTCTACGTCGCCGTGCTGCTCAAGTGCTGCGTCTACTCGTGCCTGCGCCTCCTGACGAAGTTCGCGCTCATCTTCCACGTCATCACGGGCGACGCGCTCTGGTCCTCCGGCAAGCGCACGGCGAAGCTCGTGCGCAAGGCCGGCGTCGACGCCATGGTCCTCGAGACGACGGCCATGAACGCCTTCGGCCTGTTGGCCTACGGCCTCTCGCTGAGCGTCGCGTGCCTCTGCTGGTTCCGGACGGGGCGGGAAAAGCGCGCGAAATTCCCAATTTCCCATCTCGGCCGTTTTCCACTCGTTTCGGCTGTTTTTTGGACGAGCGATCATCTCTCGGAACTGTTTTGAAGCGTGGATGTTTTTTCTGGAAACTCGCGCGCGTGAAACACTCATGTCGAAGCGACGTCGAATCACCCTCCTCCTGCCCAGGTTCTGGATGGGCGACGTCTACGACAAGGACGTCCTCGGCGGCGACTACGACAGCTCCTGGCGCACCTTCATGCTCGTCGCCATGTGCATCCTCCTCGCGTCGCCCGTCTTCGCCATGTCGCTCGTGCTCTTCATCGCCATCGTCGTCGGCGGCGACGTCGTCCCCGTGTGGATCCCCTGGTGCTGCGCGGTCTTCACGGGCGGCGCCGCGGCCATGTTCTTCTACCAGGCCGCGACGGCGCTCCTCACGGCCGCGGACACCATGTTCATCTGCATCGCCCTCGACAAGGAGCACGGCGTCGTCGCCACCGCGGCCGACGGCAAGCTCCCGCCGCTCTACGCGGAGATCTCCAAGCAGGTCGCCATCCCCGTCAAGGAGACGGAGGTCCCCTACGCCACCCCCACCAACGCCTCCCCCGTCTAGGGCGGCGTCTGCCGCGACGAGCCCCCTCGATTCCCTCAAGTGCTCGTTGATCTTCAACCTTGAAGGAGCCTGCTGTACATATGGGATGAAACTTGAAAAAAAGATACATGCCGACGTGAAAAAAGATACATGCCGACGTGCTGCTGCATTCATGAACGCTCCAGGAGCCTGGCCCACCGCTCCCGCGACGCCGCAGCTTTGCCACCGTCGGGGCCGCGGCCTCCACTCTGCCCGCACCTTCGGATGGGGTCGCGGCGTCGCGGTCCGCGCCCTTGAACAGCTGCGATGCGCCCGTGGCGTTTCTTCATCTGTGGCGTCGTCGGGGCTGGCGCAAACTCGACGTGGGATACCGTTCAAGGTTGGCGAGGTGAAAGGACACGATCCTTGCCGT